AGCCCGAGACAATTAAGGAGAAATAGCTACACAAGCAGATTCAAACTTCCAGTGCTGTTTGCTGAGTTAACAGGACAGCCAGGGGAAGCTCAAACAGTCTGACACCAGATCATTCAGAGCTAAAGGGAAAAGGAAACCTCAACAGCCCTTTTAAAAGAAACTGGGTTCAAGTAACTCTAAAGACTGGATGGCTTAAGAGTCCTGACTTGACAGCGTGGCTGGCCCTAACCCTGACAAAATTAGTTCTGATAGTTTTTGCTATTGCCATGGAAAGTCACGCTTTTAAATAAACATCGTATTCTCGTGTCGTGTGACAGCAAAACCACGACAACGTGGTCTTACCGAAGGGCTGCCAGCTAATAAAGTCTGCTAAACCACAGCTCGATGCACACGTTACGTCAAAGAGCACATTAAACTAGATGAGCTTATGTTGCCCAAGAACACCGTAACGATGGTTTTAAGTGCAACCGAGGAAGGGAAGTATCGATGCTTCCAGAGCCCATAGGATACACAGTAAAAACCAGGGTGCTTTGCTTGGCGGGAGCACACAACTGTCAAATTACAGATATTTTACCTAGTGCTAGTTATCTGAAGGCAGGAGCAGTTCCTTGACAAGTCTTGAAGAGCAGAAGGATGACATCCCAACGCAAGCTTACCAGTGCTCCTTGCCCACCCCAGAGAGCATTTTAAAGTTTTCAGACACCGGGTGATTTCAAAATCCTGCAAAAAATCTCAGATATAAGCATTTGTTAACCTGTAATGGAAAGAGTTTACCTTAAGCTGTCCCACTACCATACTGAGTATACAGCTGTCAGGTGTAGGTTGGTGGTCTTGTGCTGTGATGCTGTGTTGTATTTTTTGGAAAGGGAGGCTCTGAAATGAAAAAAAAAAAGGCAAAATAAGGAAGCGTACAGCCATTGCACTGTTTAACTTATGAAACAAAGATCACACAAATCCAGCATCATCAAGTGTTAGACTATTTGGGTGGTTACTGCGTGGACAGTTGTTGCAACTCGATGCTTTTCAGGCTGGGTTGATCATAATAGTTGTTTTTCTAGCACCAAGACGTAAAATATGTCACCATATGCATTTAGCAATTCCTCTTCCTACTGCCTGGAGAGCTTCAGTTCATCTACACCCTCAGAATTTGTATGATGAAGGCACAAAGCTCCTCTGCTCTAAACAGTGTTTAAAAATTGTTTACTCCAAGTACTTTTCCTTGTTAAAGTGACTATGTGTACAAAAGAAAGGTGGCCGACCAAGAACCAGCTTTCGGGACTTGAAATCCACATATCCACCTTTTTTCTTTTTTTTTTTTTCCTTTTTCGCCTTCATAACAGCACATGAGGGGAAGCAGAACAGCAACAGGAACCATCTTTGCCATGTACCAGGCAGGAACAGGGCGGGGAAAAAAGAGGAGGAGGTAGTAGCAATCAAAAGCACATGTTTTGAAAAGAAAAAAAGTCTTCCACACTCATGTACCACATGCAAGTACGTCTGGAGTTAAGTGTGCAAGAGACACCAGACACTGAGGAGTAATTCCTCTCTTTCAACTTCGACCCCGTTCACACTCCAACCACGGCTGACTCCCAGCAGTGAATCTCTGAGATAAGTCCGGTCGCACCAACACAGTTTCGGCGCCTTTCTATCAAAAGCTACGTGAGTGCCAAGTGATGCTTTGGAGGTGGCAGCTCAGCACAGATGGAGCCCCAGGTGACCCCACGGCTGACACCCAGACAGCAGCACCCAGGCATTTAAGCCTCAGGTTTGTACTCTGATGCCTTGACTTCATTTCCCCGATTCATTCACAGGTCGAGGAAGACCCAAACACGTACTCTGCCAAGTTCTGCGTTTCATTCCAGTGGAAGGAGCCTGAAAAACTTCCAAGAAAATCTTGGTACGCGAGAACAGGAGACCCAAGTCCTACAGTCAGGGACATGAAGTACGCTCTTGGCTCTGCAGGCATAAGGCTCTAGGAAGAATATCAGGAAGCTGAAGCCTTGGCTGATTGAGAACACAGAAACTGTGGAAGGATCAGGACCTGGGGAAGCAAAGGAAGTGTACGGAGCAGCCCTCTTATCAGAGGGACACTATTCAAGAACACTCTCCAATGAAGCCTGCAGCATTTCCTCGTAGCTGGGAGAACAATCCCAGCCTATGACAACCTGCAAAGTCAGCCAACTGGTTTCTAATATGGAATAGACACTTTAAAAAAAAAACACCAAAATCCTGAGCAGTTTTGTTCCAAGCTACCAGCAGATTATTATCCAAGGTCAACATCCCAAACCTCAGTCCACGATGTGCCCACAGAACCTGTTCAAGCATCGAGTGGGACACTGCACACCCTTCCTCTGACAGAATCCTAGACTGGCTGAGGTCGGCAGGGACCTTGGAGATCATCCAATCCATCCCCCTGCCATGGGCAGGGACGCCCTTAACCAGCCCAGGTTGCTCACGGCCTCATCTGTCTTGACACATCTCCGGGGGGGGGCCTGCCACAGCCTCTCTGGGCAATCTGTTCCAGAGTCTGGCCACCCTCACACTGAGGAATTTCTTCCTAAGATCCAATCTAAACCTGTTCTCCTTCAATTTAAATCCATTTCCCCTTTTGCTATCACTGGACACTCTTGTAAAAAGTCCCTCCCAGCCTTCCTGTAGGTTCCCTTCAAGCACCGAAGGCAGGAATAAGGTCCTACCAGAGTCTTCTCTTCTCCAGCTAAACAGCCCCAGCTCCCGCAGCTTGAACTCACAGCAGAGCTGCTCCAGCTCATCTTTGCAGCCTCCTCTGGACTCATTCCAACAGCTCCACGTCCCTCTTATGGTGGGGACACCAGAACCAGACGCAGGATTTGATGTGGGGTCTCACCAGAGCAGAGCAAAGGGAGAGAAACCCCTCTCTTGCCCTGCTGGCCACACTCCTCTTAGTGCATCCCAGGGTGTGGTTGGCCTCTGGGCTGCATGAGCGCCCTGCTGGCTCGTGTTGAGCTTCTCGTCTCTCAACACCCCTAAATCCTTCTCTTCAGGGCTACTCCCAGCCCACTCTGTGCCCAGTTTGTGTTTGTGCCTGGGACTGGTCTGACCCAGGTGCCAAAACTTGGTCCCACCTCAGCCCAGCAACTTCATGCTGCACGAGTCCTCCAAGAAGCATCTCTTGAGAAGGCAAAGGGATGAAGGGCAATGAATGTGGTCGTATCCAGCACCCGGCTTTCAGTGTGACAAGATGCCAGTGAGAGGTGAGAGTGGGGAGAGAAGACAGGGAGGAAGGAAAGGCTTCGGAGTCAAGAGCTTTGCAAAACAGCGCCAAGGACCTGAAAACAAAGCTGGGTAAGGCAGTGCCTGTTCTGATTGTCCCCTTCAGAGAGAGGGACGCCAATGGTTGGCCAGTTGAGTGATGCAGGGGGGGAAAAACCCACTGGAAAGAGGGGGGTCAGCTTGTAGGAGACAGCACAGGTTTGTAGGAGAGACAGAAGCTACCTCAAAAGGATGGTTGCTTATGGATCTCCTTCTGTACTGGAGAGAAGCATTTCTTGAGTACAATAAAAGCAACAAAGAAGCAAGAAACCACACAACAACCAAGGCTTTTTTGATGTCTCTTATACTAAAATTTCTTTGGGCTTTCACTACCAAAACCATGGAATCCTCCTTCAAGTCAGATAAAAGAAACTTTGTGAAGAAAGTCAAGCACCTTTAACTCACTCCTGTGTAGTTATTCCTGTAACTACAAGATTATCTCAAATGCTCAATGTAAATCAGGCCATACCCTGCTTAGCACAGGCACTTTCTTTGAAACAACTAAGTCCAGCACCGGTTAAGACAGAACAAGTATCAGCACCCACTCTGTAACAGACAACGGGTGCAGCAGTGCAGGCCAAGCAATGTCTCTATGAGTTTGCCCTACTGCCTTAGCATCATCTGACAGAGCAGGCTGAAAAGGTGCCGTGGCGTTGCTGTTCCGCAGCAGAGAACTAGCCCTAAAAGAAAATCCTGCCCCTTGGCACTCACAGCGACTGATCAGCCAGGCGCTGAAGAACACGGCACCGCAGAAGCACAAAAGAATTCCAGTGTTGAACTTCCAGTGATTTGCTCAACTCCTTAAGAAGCTCCAGAAACACAGAGTGGTTGAGTGCATGAAAGTGAAACAGCAGACAGAGCCAGGCTGACAGACGTTAGACTCACGGTAAGCTGATACCGCGCTGGAACGAGCCACGGCAGCAGAAGGGCACGGAATAATTTTACTACATTTCTTCCTTAAGCAGAGGATACGAGTAAGAAAAGAAAGCCTTCCCGAGGCAAAGCAGCACACCTTGACTCCCCAAGCAAGCCCACGCAGTGGGCACACAAATCCAGCAAGTCCAAGCGGCCCCGCACACAGGGCACAGGTAAAGATGAGTAACGCTCTGGCAGGGAAGGGACTGATCTGCGCTGGGCCGGATCCAAGGCAGCAGTCTGGGACGCGGTGGCCAAGCAAATGCTGAGCTGGTTGGGGATCTAAATGGCTGCTAGCCCAGAGGGCTAAAGAACACCGAGTACACAAACGAGCAACTCTGGAGCTTGAGTATCTCCCCGTCTAGAAGCGTGCAGTTGCAAGCTGTGCTATTCTGAGGGCTGAGGCCTTCTCAAAAGCAACTAAAACAGATCCAAGGGCAAACCTCGGCCTTCACTGTTAAAAGGATTTTGGATGAAAGCGGCAATTCCAAAACAGAGGAGCTGGAGCTGCACAAGACAATCGGAGTTACAAAGATTTTTCCTTCTCAATGTGTAACAAAAATCATCTATCTGCCTGCGATTTTGTGATTCTGTGATGCACTGTGCTCTGAGCAGAGTGCTCCAGGACCTAAAAGCACGTCCTCCACCTATCTTGCAACAGAAACAACTTTTCTGGTTTCAAGGCAGCTTATAATTACACTCAGTTTTAAAACAGAAGCGTGGATTTATCCAAAAGGTAAAACTTCTCCAAGTTTCACTAAACGAAGATGGATAGAGAGTTTCAGACTTTACTCAGTAAGAAATTCTTTCCTCCCACTTGCTGAAGAGGAAACACTGGTTTCAAAGTCTTCAACCATAACCACTCGTATTGGAACGGCTGACAAATGCTGCACCGAGGGCAAGTCAGGTTCTCCACCAGAGAATTTATTTGCAGTTTCTGTATCAGAAAACAAACTGTTCCTGGCAATAGCCTCTATCTTAGAGAGCTCCTAATAACAGCTTTGCTATTGCTACTTCCTTGGTATGCTTTAAAACAACAAAAAAACCACCTTTCATTCCTCTGGATCATGGGGTCAGCTTATGAGTTATACTTTTTTTAAAAATAAATCAATAATCTTCGAGGCAATTGCAGTCACAAAAGAACCTTGTGAATCAACAGAGTCAATTAACTTTCCACCATCAGAGCCACCAATGGAACACAGAATTAAATCACAAATAACACGTTTTGAAGGCCAAAAGTTGGAAGCACAAGTCCCACGTTCGAAACTGCTGAAATCATAGCACAATTTCCAGAAGCAATTCATTTACAGTCTTCAGAACCGTTTCCCCAAAACATTTGGGCGGGGTGACAGACTTACAGAGAGTTTTTCAACAATAGCTGCTTTGCCCTGGAACTGCTGTCCTTCCCACGTAAGGCATGATGCATCAATCTGGGGGGAAAGAAAAGGAAAAAATTCAGCAACCTGCTTTAGTAATCGTGGTAAGAGACTTAGTTTACTTGGCATCTGTTCTTAAAATCCAGCTATGTGGGAACCACCTCAAGGAGAAACAGAACAAAACCACAGAGCAACTGAAGAGAGTGGAGAATAACCAACCAGAAATTAAAGCGATTAAATTTCATTATCATGATTCTACCAGCAAAAAAAAAAAAATCCTGCCTTTAGATCTAAGTTAGCTTTCAGAAAAAAATCTAAAGGACGCACATACACAAAAAAACTACGGATAAAGAGTCGAGCATGTAGGAAGACAAAAACATCGGAAGACATTTGACAGGATGAGCTGTACCACCAGCTTTTCCTCCTCCCAGGTACCGATTTGCACACCCTACTCGCAGCCGGAGTGGCAGAATGTGCCTCTGAAGGTTTTCTAACGGGCTGCCCTGCCTGGCACGAAGCGATTGAGCCACTTCAGCCTACGAGCTCTCCTAGTACGCGAGAGAGGGTGTTCTGAGCACGCTAGGTCAGGTGTGACAGCAACGGGCAAGAAAACTTTCCATTCTGCTCAAGATACTCAAAACCAGAGTTCCAATATCCTACTGTTGACCCAGCTCTGCTTTCTCAAATCCCATTTTAAACCGTAGCAAGCAAACTTAAATTTGCATTCGGTTCCGTCAAGCTCAAAGTCCACCTGCTGTCATCTTCACCAGCACCCTCGCCCTGCACCCAACAGAAAACCTAACCAATAAAAATAAGAAAAGATTTCATTATAAGTAACTACATGCACAAAGCAGAGGGAAGGAGCAGCTACAGCTTTTTCTTGCAAAGTGACTGCCAGAGGATAACGGTAAAACAACTCTTGGACTTGGTACTCCACCTCACTGGCCCAGATCCCTACACCTGGAATAGGTTATAAAAGCTCAATGGACTTGGATTTCAAAGCTAAAGGAGAAAAGCGAACTTTGTGGTAGAAGCAGCACTACAGGAACATCAAACGAATCCAAGAGCTCCCTGCATGCTAAAAAATTTGCTCGCTCCCATAGGGTCTCTGTCAATAAAAACCCATTTCTGCAGAATCTCTTCTAATTTAACAAGTTGCAACCTTGGTGCAATTCAGGCACACCAGAACAGGGTCCCACCTCCACAGAAAAAGCCTAAAGGTGAAAAAAGCCCAGGAGTTCATTGTGCGGAAGGAATTTAAATTATCCTGTCCTTATCATCAGTTTTCTACCGAACACAGTTTTGGTAGTAATGTGATAGAAGCTGCGAAGCACCTTCTTATTTAGAGCCATGGATTGAACAGAGGTTACTTGTTTTTCTTGTTTTATGGGCTCTCTGTGTAGCTTCTTGGCCAAAAAGGCGACAACATTCTAGCAGGCAGCAAACACACGACAATCCGAAGAGCAAACGCTACCAGCGCTGGTGGATACTGCCAAGATATGAAGAGGGGTGTCAGACGATGCTCGTGCAACAGTTTTGACCCTTTAAGAGCTTAGTGAAGCTTCATGCAACTCATCCAGGAGATGAAAAACAAATCAGAAAAACAGGATGTGCTGCTGGAAGACTTGTAAGACTTGAGTGTCTTGCTGAATTGCCTCGGCCACCCGGCAACGTTCCTCACCACCAGTAATCAACTCCACAGGCAGAGCCCTTTGTATGTGCTGGAGGAGTCTTCCTCCAAAAGCTAAAAGCTCATGTTCCTTGGGTTTGTTACTTACAGCCTTTAATTTTGGAAGTCAAATTTAGTTTGCTCCAAACGAGGAGCAAAAATAAAAGCCTAATTTTTGGGGAAAAAAAAGAATTAACTTAGATTTAACAAATTATAAATAAACTGGATTCAAAATTTTAAATCTATGTTAGTGTTCTGAGGATTAATAGAGCATGAGACCCAAGAAACACCTGCAAGAACTGCTAAAACACAGAAACAGGACTTAAATCCCTCAAAAGGGATTCGAGTAAATCAACGTCTGTAAATTAACGGCAAACTAAGGTGCAGTGGTTTGACGCTGGCTGGCAGGCAGGTGCCCACCACAGCCGCTCGATCACTCGCCCAGCTCAGCTCGACAAGGGAGAGAAAAATATAACGAAGGGCTCATGGGTCGAGCGAAGGCCCGGGAGATCTTTCAGCAATCTCGGGCAAAACAGACTTGGGAAAATTAACTCAAGTTATTACAAATCAAATTTGAGACGGGGAATGAGGAATAAAACCAAATCTCAAAACGCCTTCCCTCCAATCCCTCCCTTCTTCCCAGGCTTAGCTTTACTCCTGATTTCTCCACCTGAGCAGCACAGGGGATTGCAGTCACTTCATGAGATGCTGTCCCTGCTGCTCCTTCTTCTGTAGGGGGAGGACTCTTCACTCCTCCCCTGCCCCAGCACGGGATCGCTCTCCCAGGAGACTGCTCTTCACAACCTTTCTCCAATGTGAGTCTTTCTGTTCTTCACAAACTGCCCCAACGTGTCTTCTCCATGGGGTGCAGTCCTTCAGGAGCAAAACGCTCCAGCATGAGCTCCCCAGGGGGCCACAAGTCCTGCCAGCAAACCAGCTCCAGCATGGGCTCCTCTCTCGCCACGGGCTACAGGTCCTACCAAGAGCCTGCTCCAGCACACACTTCCCATGGCACAAGGGGCAACGGGTGCAAGCTGGAGCGTAGGAGGTTCCAAAAAACATTCATTTTTTCACTGTGAGGGTGCTGGAGCCCTGGCCCAGGCTGCCCAGAGAGTCTCCTTCTCTGGAGACTTTCAAACCCCACCTGGACACGTTCCTGTGTGGCTGCCCTGGGGGATCCTGCTCTGGTTGCACTGGATGATCTTTTCAGGTCCCTTCCAACCCCGAACAGTCTGTGATTCCAGGATGAGGCCACTGCCTCCTTCAGGCATCTACCCACTCCGGCGTGGGGTCCTCCACAGGGGGACATCCACACCTCATCACCTCCAGGGGCTGCACGGGGACAGCCTGCTTCACCAGGGGCTGCACCACAGCCCAGGGCAATCTCTGGCACCGGGAGCACATCCACTCCCCCTTCTTCACAGACCTTGGCATTTTCACATATTCTCATTCCTCCTTCTCCAAGTGCCACCTTTTTCCTTCTCCCTGCTTCTGAAATACGTTCTCTCCGAGACGTTACTACTATTGCTGGTAGGCTTGGCCTCGCCCAGTCGCGCCTTCGCCTTTGGAGCCGGCTGGCATTGGCTCTGCCAAACCTAGGGGAAGCTTCTTGCAAAACCTGGCCACGGAAACTCAATGCCTAAGGCCAGTGTATTTGTTCCTGTAGAAAATTTCATCACGGGATCATCAGCCCCTTCCACTACAAGCCATTGTCTTCAGCCAGTCAAGGGGTTTTATGGGTCTGACTGCCTAGAGATAAGGTAGATGAAGCTCAAAACAGAAGTGAAGTGTAAAAGAATGCAATAAATAAAAGGCTGAGTAAACATGATTGGACTGAACAACATTCTGGAGTCAGGATAAGCCACGCCATGTATTCCCATGCATCAAAACAGGGAAACCTGGAGAAATAACAGGAGAGAGTCGCAGCCCTCTTTTTGTAGATACTTACATATATTGCTCCTAACTGAGTCCTGTCTGCATCAAAAAGCTGGTAGTAATGTTGTACGAAGCTGGACCCAATCTGCTCCCAGATAGGCTTGTCTCCCATTCTGAAGCCTCACCCAAAGCTGTAAAGCAACCAAAAAGAATTGTCAGGGAGAAAAAAATAAAAATCCCCACATAAACGTAGCACTTGACTTGGTATGAAGCACCAGTAAACACACAATCCTTCTCAGGTGGCCAGATTTTTTTTTTCTGGAAGAAGTAGGACAAACCTCACCTCTTTTTCTAGAAGAACTTTACACACGGCACGTGCAGCAGTCCAGACTCGGGAAACTTTGCCGCCCCATTAAATTTTTCAAGGAAGCAAATTAATTGTTTCTTTATTGTGATACCTTTCTGAAAGACTGAAGAACTGGGCTCAAAACCCACTATATTACATTTTAACATCTGGGTTTACTTCGAGCAAACAAAAGGACACTTGCTAAACATCCAGGCCTGTGCGATCCCTGCCCAAGAACCCTTGAGCTGTAGGTTTGCGTTGCACTGCAAGTCCAGAAAGGCATGAAATTCTGTTTCAGGGATTTAGGAGAAGGCAGTTAACTTTGGCTTCCTTTACAGGTCCACCTGTTTAAGTGTGACAAATTCTTCAGAGAAGACAAAACATACTCCTAACATCTCCACAGCAAGTACTACCAGGCCTAGCTTTCTGTGCACAGTCAGTCAAGAAAAAGTTCTTTTCATATTTCAGGCTGTTTGAGCTTTACTCATACAAATGGGAAGTGAAACAAATTCAAACCGTAGGTCAGATAATTTCAGGTTACACAAGTTTGCCCAGAAGAGCAATTCAGGAGCTCAATGCCATGATGGGTGGTAGCATACAAGTGTTCAGGGTGATGGTACAGCTATCAAAGTGAAATACAAGCCCAGAACAGCCAGAGCTCCAACACCAGGGATACTCAAAGGAGAAAAGGGTTGGGATGAGGGGAGCAGAGAATGTGACAGCTTGGAGAGCTGGCCATGCAGCTCTCCCCGCTGGGAAAGGGATGGTTTGCAGCCCGTGAGAAGGGCTTTGGCAGGAGGAGCTTTGGTTGTGGCGCTGCACCACAAAAACACGCTGCAGACTCGGCGATTTCTGACAGCCGACCCATGCCGGCTGCAAGCGAGCTCTCGAGCGCATCGTAGAAGTTTTATTTGATTCAAGGATGAGGTCAAAAAACATAGAAACATACCTACCCCATTTCTAAACATCCTCATTTCAGTATCAACCAGCCTGGCAACACCATCAACAGCAAACTCAGCAGCCCTGCACACTAACTTCAGCTAAAAACTTCACTTGTTGCCACATCACTTAATATTTGAACTGCTCAAAAAAAAAATAAAAATCTACAATCTGGCATCGGGGACCATGGCTTGCACTCCACTAACACCTGCACCACATCTCATCTGGAGCCAGAGGCCTTCAGCTCAAGGCACGCCAGCCTCACTCCAGCACCAGGTGCCTTCTCTTCAGTCCCGAAACTGCGAGTGAGCCTCCAAGGCTCAAGGAATTAGGGAATTTGCATTTTACGCACAGAAAGCATTAAGTAACAAATAGCATGCTAGGCTCCTATCTCCTTCTAAAAACAAAGTATTTTTATTTTGGCAGGTAAAAATACCATTAAAAAAAGAAAATGATCTTGCCAGAAGTGGGAACCACACTAAAAAAAAAGAAAAATGCTGCTGAAATGAATGCTCCTTTATTTTTTTTTTGTTTTGTTACCTGTGTCATTCACATAAGGTTTTGCTTAAATACTTTCCAGTGAAAGTGTTCTTTATTCTCATGTTTTCCTGCCTCTCAAGAGCTTAGAGAAGTACCTAAAGAAAGAACAAGACCGGAATGATCTTCTATGTCAAGTCCAGTTCCTTCCAAGGAGATACAATCCGCGCAACATTGTATCGATACAACCCTTCCAAATCTAAACACTGTGATTCATCACGCTGGTTTAATGAGATAAATGCAAAATTAAAGGCTTTTAATATCTATTCCAAAACTAGGAAGAACGCACATGTTCTGATGGTGTCAACACAAACATGCCTGAGAGCCACAACTACCCATGGTTCACTCAAACTTTGGTTAGAGGCAAGAATATTCAGTTAATATTAAGCCAGATAAAAGAAGATTTAATAAGCTAGAAAGCACAGATTTTGTGGCACACTTGCCCTTTTAAAGCCACTTGCTCAAACTTACCACCATGTAAGTGCACTATAGGATATTCCACCTTAATTCTCCACAGAAAAGGAGGGTTTCCTGAAGTTAATTAATTTTCTCTCCTTGGTCACTTCAAACCCTCCTCATCGCACGCACTTAAGAACACCGCAGCCCGTTCGATTAACAGCTCCCTTGCCGAAGGACAGCGGCGACGCTGAGCTACCGACATGGAGTGTAATACTTGAACGCCATTTCTCAGAATCTGCTTGTATTCGTGGAGTATTTATTCCTCTCCCCGCGCTGATACCACCCAGGGGCCTGTGCTCAAGCTGAAACCCAACACCGTGCACAAAAGCCGCAGCTGCCAGCAGCTCGCTGGCCAACAGGTACACGCTGACGCAGCAGAGCTGGGATGGCTGATCCTCAAGGGGACTCTCGCTCTCCAGTGCCTGAAATCATTGGATTAAATGGGGACTGAGCTGCTGGGGAGCAGCGCAGGGGAAAGGGCCCTGGGGGTGCTGGTGGCAGCAGGATGGCCATGAGCCAGCAGTGCCCTCGTGGCCAAGAAGGCCCACGGCTTCCCTGGGGGGGGTAGAAGGGGGGGAGC